ATTTGCATTCTGATCAGCACAGCCTCATGGGGCAGCGGGCGGCAGAACACTTGTGTTGGATATCTGACAGTAAAAAGGGCAAGTGGCCAAGAAGAGAGCTAGATGATATCCTAAAAACCTTGATTAATACATCAGGAGACTTTAAATGTGATGTTTTTGTCATCTTTTCCACCATTGACACAAACCATCTGTCCAGTCAATTTCCAGCAGAACCGGAGCTTCAGGCTGAAGCAGGGATTCTGGGAAAGGTCTTGACTAATGGCTGCCGTAGGCTGAACAGTGTACACATCGAATGGGGTCACATCATTTTGCTGTCAACCAGCCAGAGGTACAGCCAGTAACCCATCCACCAGTCAACAAAAGTGTTGGCGCCCCGGGTTTATTCATACATGCTGAATCCTTTTGAACATATGAAGCATGTTAGCTTTGCTATGTCAATATGATTTGATTCATTTAATAACCAAAGCGATCGCCCCTCCAACATGATCAGGCTGCTGAGAGATCGATACTGTTTGCCAAGCTGTTGTTTCAACAGCAAGGATGATCTAATCACTTTTACCCAATGCTAGTAATAACTGCATGGCATATCATAACTATTTTGTATCTATAGCTACTTTCAAGGCTTGATCTCTTAGATTAAAGTGACTCTCTGCTATAAATATACCTGGGGACATTATGCATGTACAATGCCTCATTGATAATCTTGCAGAGTCATCAGTTCATTCTCATACACTGAAAGTACTGTCATATAGAATATACTGAATAAAAGCCATTTTGAAATCTTAAAGTATAGAACTGAAGTCTTTGAGTACTAGCTTAAAGGGATAGTTCACCCAAAAATGAAAATTCTGTTATCATTTACTCAACCTTATGGCAGTTCAAATTAAAATTAATTCCTTTCTACTAAAAGAAAAAAAGAAAAAGAAAGGAAAAGAAAAAAGTGTCATTTTGTTCACACAATAAAAGTCAATGGCATCCAAATGTTGTTATGGACCCCAATAAGTTTTATTACAAGGACAAAAATGTTGAAAATGCCGAAATGTCTGTAGATAATCATGTGGTGCTATCCACTAATGTACTGATACTTATCCATACCAGGAATTATGAATCATAAATTTTCTTGTGATAAATTTTTCTTGTCTCTCGAAAAGGACATCCGTCTTGTGACTTTCATGGACAAATGTGTGCAGTGCCAGAGCTGAAATGTTGACAGTGTTGGATAAAAACCAGGTTACAGGCTGGACATAAAGTGTCTCGCTCTTCATTATGTGAAGATAAAACTCCCTTGGCCTTAAGAATGTGAGCGTCATAATATTTTACTGACTTTCGCTGAAGTGGGACTTGAGGATGCTTGGAAATTAAATGGCTGTCAGACAAGATCACAGTGCTGGACAGTGACTCCAATTGTAGATGTATACATTATTACAGAACAATTGTTGGTGTTCTACCACTATTTGCTTTTAATACAACTTCCAATTTTCTTAGAATCGATTAATACAATTTTTAAACTTGTGCCAGTTATATTAAAAATTATTATATATTAAAAATATATTAAAAACAAATGCCAGTTGCTTTAGAGATGTTGGAGGAGGATATCAGCTTCTCGCTCTTCTCTTCAAAACTGTCTACAATGACTTGACAGTATTCAAGTAAGGTGATTTATCTGGCCAGGGCAGATGTTGAAGTTCCTCTTGGTGCTCCAACAGTCCAGGTTTTATGATCATGACACCATAATTTTTCACATTTAGCGTTGATGTCTGTCATTAAAGTTTTAGCAATTGCAGCTCCTTCATGGATGTTGGCTTCGTGAAGTTCTCTGTGGTCAGTTTTTGTGGAAATATTGAGGTTTGCTGTCACTCTGTTTTGTTTGGGCGCAATCCTTCTTAGAGATTCGGTCCCTATAATGGTCCCTATCATTCACTTTCGGGTTTTACCCACTATTCTTCCTTGCCGATGAAGTCTTGCCATGTTTTGTTTACACAGTCAGAATTGTAAAGACTTTTACAACAATTAGGAATTAAACCATTCCTGCTGAATGGGCTTCCATAATTTTCCCTTTTTGGGAGTCTGACAAGTCCATATTTCACCCACAACTTGTACTAAACACTGCTGAACACAACTTATACTACACTGATAAAGAACCTAGAGAGTATAGATAACATAAAAGGTAATTGCAATGTTTGTTTTTGCAAAAAATTACATTAACGCCTATAATAATGGGTGATCACATTATTTTGTCCAACCCCTGTATATATTTTCATGCTGGATCATCAGTTGAAGAGCATGACTCTTTACTTTAATATTATCAATGTCTGATCTGATTGCCTTTCATCCACATCTCTTTTATCTCTCTACATACTTCCTTTCTCTTCTCACACACTTTCATTCTCTTCATTTAGTCCATCTTTATAGAGAGGCTGCAGTGTGTGGTGTAGTGGAGCTGGAGCACCGGATGAATGACCACAACTCTCAGTTCCCTGCAGCAGCAGGGAGATTCCATTAATGTGTTACTAATTGCTATTAAGCAGCCTGATGTTTGGAAGAACAGAGGCTGTCGATATGCCTGTGCTAGTATATAGGGACAACTCAATGCAGGCCAACACCCCATCCCACCACAGGACACAACGTCACCTCATCTGTCTGTCAGTCTGTCTATCAGTCAGTCAGTCAGTCATTGTATAATTCTATCTATTGTTCTATAATTCTAACTCTGGTTTCATAATATTGCCAAGCTGTGGATGGTTCTCTTAACCTACAGGTGTCTTTTCATACTTTAAAACAAAGATCTCAAGTGTCCTATAAGTCAGCAGGTACCAGCCTGTCTGGAAATTGCCATCAAACACACACACACCATCACAAAAGAGATTAGTCCTGTCTTCAGCACAGCCAGTCAACCTTGAAGGTCATTTGCCCACCATTACTGATATATAAATACTCACAGCAAAGAAAGAGTTTTCAAAAGAAAAAAGAAAATGGGATTTGTTATCTAGCATGAGGGCTCTTAATGAGCTGCTCTTCTGCCCACTCTCATGGCCTCCAGTGAAAACAGATGGATCTGATGCCCTCAGGCGATTCCATCTCTGTGGCTGTGGGTTGTCCGAAGGTTACATCAATGCAGTTAGTGCCCACTCTTTCTCTCTGGTAAGCCCGGAAGCATCCCAGCTTTACTGTCTGGATGCTAAAGGGCTGGTTTGCATGAAAGTCCCTAGATGGTTTTCCCTTTCAATTAGATTTTTTACCCTATTTTTGATTAGGACTCCACACTTTGCAAGTTCATTTTATTGATCTTAAAAATTAATAAAAATGAAACATCTATTACTCACCATTACTCATCACATTTGTTTTATGGGCATGAATGTGTATTCAGAAATCATGTGGCATATTGTAGAAGTGTACTAGATCTAGCGGTGGGCTTTCTATACCCATATATTTTTCTATATATATGTTACGTTATGTTTTATGTCATGTCGTGTCATGTTGTTGTATGTTATGTTATGTTTTATGTTATGTATGTTATGTTATGTTATGTTAGGATGGCTTGAGGGTGAGTAAATCATGGGGTAATTTTCATTTATGGGTAAACTAGCCCTTTAATAATTGCAAACTGGTATTTATCATCATATTATTTATTATTAATTAATTATCATAAGCACACTGGTTTGTAGCACAAATAGTTATACCGTTTACTGCACTTTGTGATTCTATTAGTTATTATAGCGGCTAATGAATCAAAATTCTCACACAAAAGAAAATAGCTTATTTCCGTGTTGCAAAATAAGGTTGAATATATTATGTCATATAAACCGTGGACACAATAGGTCAACATTCATGGGCATAAAATTACTGTATAAAATGCTCAGTTTGTGCTTTCTCAGGTTTAAACAGAAATATAAAATGATTTATAGGCCCGGTCTGCAGTGTTTACTGCATCATGCTTGCAGTATTACAAAGCAGTATTTTGCTCTCATTCTTACTGACTTGCTAAAGTGGAGTGAAATGACAAGTTACTGTGGAGGTGAGCATACTGAGGCTGTAATACTTAATGGCTTGTCAGATTTATTAGCTTGCCAGCTATTGTAATATCCTGCTGTCTCTCCTCATGAGCTGCAATGGCAGCACATCCTGTCAAGCGTCTTTCTCCAGAGCCACAGAAGTGCACTGTGAGCTTCCTGTCACAAAGTCGGAGGTTTCCATTCTGTATTATATCACTGCGCTTATCGATGTTTTAATAAAAAAGTGAAGTGAGATTTAACCTATACATTTTTCTTACTTAAAACATTTACAAAAAGTACTAGAAATATCATAATAATGTGTTTTGGACATCTGTAGTGGTAATTAGATGAATAAATTCTTGTATATGATTATGTCAGTAAAGTTACCACAGTATTACCATCATTATACTGTTTTATAAGGGAAGGCTGAATGATTTAGTGGTGAATTAATATGTAGCCGACTGTATTGCGGTTCTTTCAGCTTTCCTAATGACTGTTTGTTCTCTAACCTGACAACTTTGCAAATAAGGCATTAAGCTGGTGCGCCACAGTTTCTTTTACGTCCTCCTGAAAAATTGATCTGCTGGGCTAATGTTGCCTGGGTAATTAAAGGGATGGAGCTCATAAACGCCCTCTGGATACAAGTTATAAAAATCAACTTACTGAACACGAGTTACAGTCCACATGACAGTTTTCCTCTGATGTCTTTTGAATTTCTTGTAGTTAATTGTGTTATGTCCGTTTATCAAATGCCATGCAAAAGTGTTCAGACTGATCAATGCCCTTTTTTCTTCTCAATTACAAAGACTATTGATTTTTTTTTTCATATCTAAGCACTCGACTGCAAAATTAATTTGAAAACTAAACAAATGTAAAGTATAATGCTAAAATAATTACAATTAAATTTAAAAAAAAGGTGAACTATCCCTTGATAGAAACATACAACACAAAGAGTTTTTGAAGAGTTGGAGTTTGATTGAGTAACTCCTGTGTTATCTGTCTTTGTAGTTTGACATGCAGCGGATTACACTGGAGGAGCTGAAACACATCCTTTTTCATGCCTTCCGGGACCACCTGACGATGAAGGACATAGAGAACATCATCATCAATGAGGAGGAGAGCTTGAACGAGAACTCCGGGAACTGTCAAACAGAGTTTGAGGGAGGTGAGTGTAAACTTGCTGCCTTGCGTGTGTTTGTGTGTGTGACCTTTGAGTTTTAGGGTATGCTGTACTAAAAACGGCAAAGTTTTTCCTTTGTGTTTTTGAAAAGTTTCGCGTACAAAACAAAACGATCCCCATTCACACAGACCTGCGAAAATGACTAAAAATTATGCAGGTCAAGCCGGTAGTTGGCAATGCCACTTTGTAAAGAAACAGTACACGTCTGCACACATACCTATAGACTGATCACATAATATACATATGCAAGACGTCACCATTTTCATTTGCATTTTTGTAGTTTAGTTAGACAATAACGGTATTATTTTCAAAAACTTGTGCTTTGAAACACATTTTCAGGCCCCCAAAAAGCCATTGTCTTGTAAACAGCCCCTTAGAGTGGGCTGGTTGTGATGTCACTGTATAGGGAAGGCTAGGCTCATGAATATTAATTAGCCCTAGATAATCTCCTTGACTTTCCAGTCACGCTACTTGAATTCTAATACATTTCGTCCTTTAAATGTCAGTACAAAATACATTATGATATAAAGATAATTTCAAATAAATGGAGTATCAAATAAGGTATTCTACAATATTCATGATTTTAGTTATTATTTATGATCATCAACATGACAGAGAGGGGTTTTTTCATGTAAGAACAAAATGCAGATGGTGACCCTTGTGAAAATAAAGTACACTTTAGTATAGTTACAAAGAGTAGCCAACTTATTAGTTCAAACACTTAACTGCGGTTAAATTAAAATATATTATTATTTAAAATTAATTAAATGCAGTTAGGGCAGGGGTTCTCAACTCAGGCCCTCGAGCTCTACTTTCCTGTAGAGTTTACCTCCAACCTTGATCAAATTCACCTGTCAGTAACTTTCTAGTAATCCTGAAGACCTCGATTAGCTTCTTCAGGTATGTTTGATTAGGGTTGGAGCTAAACTCTGCAGGAAAGTGGAGCTTGAGGGCCAGAGTTGAGAACCCCCGAGTTAGGGAGTGCTTTTTTGGCCCATTTAAGTACACTGTAAAAAAATAATATATGTGACCCTGGACCACAAAACCAGTCATAAGGGTAATTTTTTTTCGAAATTGAGATTTATACATCATCTGAAAGCTGAATAAATAAGCTTTCCATTGATGTATGGTTTGTTAGGATAGGACTTGGCTATATTTGGCCGATATACAACTATTTGAAAATCTGGAATCTGAGGGTGCAAATCGCCTTTAAAGTTATCCAAATCAAGTTCTTAGCAATGCATATTACTAATCAAAAATTAAGTTTGAATATATTTACAGTAGGAAATTTACAAAATATCTTCATGGAACATGATCTTTACTTAATATCCTATTCCTAATGATTTTTGGCATAAAAGAAAAATCAATAATTTTGACCCATACAATGTATTTTTGGCTATTGCTACAAATATACCCCAGCTATACCATTAAGACTGGTTTTGCGCTCCAGGGTCACATATCAGTAAGTCATGGCAACTCGTCAAAATCATTTGAGCAATTTCAACTTTTATTTATAAGTTATATGAAATTTAACTTGATTTTTAAGTCGGTATAATTTAATTTAAATTGAAATGATTTATACAACCAAGTTGATTATATTTAAAAAGTTTTTTTTATAAGTTGAAGTACTAGGTGGATATATATACAGTGTATGACTTAATCTTTATGTAATTTCTTAATTTTATTTATCTTTTTAAATTTAATTTCTTAATTACTTCTGTTGGTTAAAGTGTACTGTTGAGTGTCATGATAAGCATTTATGGTCAACTAAAATATTACTTTAATGTGTTTCTACTGAAACTGGTCTGTCATGTATTGTAAATATATTTATTATAACATTTTGTAATGATGAAGTTGCAATTGAATGCATTTAAAATATCAAATAAGGTATTCTACAATATTTATGATTTAATCATTATTTATGAAAAACGTGAGTAAACATGAAAAAATTTAAATGAATTATTGTATATAGAGAAGAAAAAACAAAATAAAGCAAGTATAATAAATAGAAAAGCGCATAAAATACAACATGCAAATAATTAACTCATTTCAGCGTTTTTTCCCTTTTTGGATTAAAAACAAGAAAGTAATTCTGATCAGCCAAACCCTTTAAACTTAAATGTATGCAACTAAGCAGTGTTTGTAATGATGTGGTGCTTCTCTAGTTCATCTAGTTCAGCTTCTCTGCTTCAGTCGGTTTGAAGCTGAACTAGATGAACTGGTGTTCTGGTGTTGATGTTGTTGTTGCATGCATGATAATACTCCTGTTACTGTACCTCTATTTGCTCATCTTATCCTGTGATGAATAACACAACATTTCTCATGGTAATACACAGGAGGGTTAATGCTCTTTTGCCGTATGTGATATTCACAGCCTATTGACATCAGGTGCTATTTTAGTGGGTATTTGGTTATTAAAATCAGAGGAGTGAATTAAAGATGCTAGTTTGGTTTTTGAGTGGGCAGCTCATCTCGAGATACATGAGTAGGTGTCTACAGGGTCACCAGAGCTCACTGTAGCATATGCTACTCTACATTATGAGATCTCCTGAAACAAACTCATAATCATCTCATGCGACTGAGTTTTGAAATTATGATGCAAACATACCATATTCAGCCTATTTGACACTTTGAGTGCCTCAGACCATTAAAAATATTTTTTAACCTAAATCAATAGTACTTTTAACATGTGTTTAAAGACTAGTCATTACATTGTCTAGAAACAAAAAATATTGGTTGGCTCAGTGATGGCCACCATGTTAACTCTTTCCCTGCACTGATGAAATTATCTGTCCCGCCACTGATGAAGTTTCCCAGCTTTCTCTGTTTTCACTGTTAGGGCTATTACACATCTTCTGAAAGAGCACAGTAAAGTAATAGTTCACCCAAAAATGAAAATATGCTGAAGATTTACCCTCAGGCCATCCAAGATGTTTGTTTCTTGAACTGAACAGGAGGAATTCAGCATTACATCACTTGCTTACCAATAGATCCTCTTCAGTGAATGGGTGTCGTCAAAATGAGAGTCCAAACAGCTGATGAAAACATCACAATAATCCAGATGTAATCTCCACTTGTGAAGTGAAAAACAAATCCATCATTAAGGTGTTTTTATATTCAAACCATTGCCTCTGGCTAGAACATGCTTTCTTCAGTAAAAAAGTCGTCTTGTCTGAATCAGGAGAGAAATATGCACAGATCAAGCACTGTTTATAAGAAAAACTGTGCAAAACAGCAAACAAATATATGCAAAATCACTGTTCTTATCAGGTAGTTGTGTATCCAGATGATAAATAAAAGCCAAAGGCTGAATTCAGAATAGAATACTAGCATTCTATTGTTTCTCCTATATAATTTATAATCCCTATATATCTTTAGTATCAGCCATGATTTAAAGGGGTAATATGATGCGATTTCAATTTTTCCTTTCTCTTTGGAGTGTAACAAGCTCTTGGTGCATAAAGAAGATCTGTAAAGTTGCAAAGACTAAAGTCTCAAATCCAAAGAGATATTCTTTATAAAAGTTAAGAGTCTGCCACGCCCCCCTAAAACGGCTCGTTCTAACACGCCCCCACATATCTACGTCACTGTGTGGGAAGATTTGCATAACGCCGCCCAAATGTTCACGCAAAGAAAGGCGGCGAAACTTTTATTCTCGCTGTAGTATTGTTGTTGCCGCCGCCGCCGCCATGTCCTGAAGGCGCTGTGTGCTTTGTTGTGAAAGCGAAACTACTTTGGTTGGCCTTCCAAAAGAGGACGATATCCGCTTCGTCATGCCTGGAGCTGATCTGTGCTGGGCGCTGAGGAAATATTCAACTTCGTGCTGTCGATCGCCGGATCGGCTTTCACCGTGGACGATGCGGAGTCCAGCCCGGGGTCGTCACATGTGGTTGCCGCAGGCATCACAATATGGTAAGGGATGTAACATTTCCGTCACACGCTTGAGGAATTCGGCCAATCACAACGCACTGGATAGCTGGCCAATCAGAGCACACCTCGCTTTTCAGACCGATGAGCTTTGTAAAAATCGACGTGGGCATAGAAAAAGGCGGGGCATAGAGGAGAAACAATAATGTACAGTATGTGGAAAATAATGTGTTTTCTTAACCATAAACCGCATAAACACATTTCATTACACCAAATACACAAAATAATGTTCTTTTTAGCAGCATCATATGACCCCTTTAAATGTTACATTAGTACATATTATGCAACAATAAGCATTAGAAAGAATTGTGTACCACAGCTTTGAAGCTACTTAGTGCACTTAGTGAATGATTTCAGAGTATGAATATTCAGTATGGACCACGCTAGCACAGTGTTAGCATTGCAGGGGTCAAGCACATCCCTTATGCCAACGGCACAAGTCTCTGTCCTACCAGCAGTAACAGATGTCCACAGCGCTAAAGCAACACTCATCCACACCTTCTGTTGAGCCCTCTGTGTCTTTATGAATCATTAATGGTGGCACCTGGGTCAAGCTTAGATTGTCAACAGACCACACACTGAGACTATATTAATGAATCTAGAGACACAAGCAAAATGGAGTCTCTTTAACACAAAAGCTAACTAAAACTCTTCAACTAAAACTAGCCAAGCAACTGCCATTGAGATGAATAGGAATGCTAACAGTTTTAGCATTTCATTTGGTGATGCTAGCAAAAGAGAAATGACATAAGGTTTCTTTCCTAGTCATCTCAATAGCAAAAAGTGCCTCAATTTACCTGAATTCAGCTTTACAGCTGCACACAATACTGTCATGCTTGTGTACTTTTTGTAGAGAGGGTTTTTGAAGTTAAAAAAGGTGCACTTTAATATATTTTTAAAAAGAGTACTTATTATGGATATAATGTACTAGCCTATAATAGAATTAAAATTAAGTAATTGAAAGTGTATTAGTTTAAATTTATATTAAAGGTAATTAGCTTTTTTGACCCACTTAAGTAGGACTTAAGTATCTAAATGTACACTTTTTAGCTACACTTCATTTGCCTTTTATTTCATTAATATTCAGTATTATCTGCAAGTACAGTTTTTTAAAAATATATAGTAAACTACAAGTGCACATTCAATACAATTGAGTGCACTTTTTCGCAAGAGGGTTGCAGTGCTGTCGAGACTTTTTGAAGTTCAAAAGATGCTGAGCACACTGCAATACAATTTAGCTTGACTTTATGAAAAGGTGAGAGAGGGGCAAAAATTAAGGTTCTCCTTAGCAACAAACACTCAGGCAGAAGAGTAGCTACGTTTGCTCATTATCGCGCTTCCTCTCTGCTGTAACCAGGCCAGGGATTGGCTGCAGGGGGCGGGACTTGCTGACTAGCGCTCTGTGCCGGAATGAGGACTGGAGCGGAAAATGATATCACGGGGTGAGGCTGGCACACAATCTGTCTCGCTGTGCGTTCCAGAAGCTCCTAATAACTGCCTCTATTCTCAGCCCAGGCCCCACTGTCACCCCAGACGCTCGTGAGCCGAGCAGCCACATGTGCTCAGGTGAACCTCAAGCCCTAGTGAAACACCTCCACCTCGCAGCTGCACGAGAGACGCTGCTTTATTTAGACGGGTCAGATTGGCAGATGAAAGGCGATCGGCTAGAATGCAAATCGACACCTACACATTCAGACACAACACAAGTAGAAAATGTGTTCAGATTAGCATACTTGTTTTCCTCAGTCTAAATCGCTGTTTTTGTGTCGTTGCAGTTCATCCCAAAAAGAAGAATCGGCAGACGTGTGTGCGCAAGAGCCTGATATGCGCGTTCGCCATGGCCTTCATCATCAGCGTCATGCTCATCGCGGCCAATCAGATGCTGCGCAACGGAATGGAGTAGTGACATCACTGTGAGCGCGGCGGAGCCTGCATGTGCATGTCTGTCGATGAAGTTGTCAAAAATTAACCAACAAACTCGAGAAACAAAACCAAACACCTCACTACTGAAAAGAGGAGCTTTTTATTCTTTTATTATTTGTATTCTCCCGTTACTTTTCCACGCGGACCAAGTGACACAGGAAGTGTACGTCGAGCCAAGCCAGCATGTTACACGGGGCCTCATCTCTCAGGCAGGGACTTTAAAGGGCTGACTTTCTGCTTTTCGTGCCACCTCTGTTCCCTAATGCAATAACACGCAGGAGTTCATAAGCCGTCACTGTCTCCTCCGTGGCTTTAGATATTTCAGCAGGGATTCGCTGATGAGCTTCTGCTGGGCTCGGGCCTGCCGTGGATGTAGGAAGGCAAAAGTAATTGGCAACTCCTTACACCTTGGTGGAGGGAGAGTTACAGCATCTACTTCGGAGACTATTTATGTCTGCTCTAGCCAGAGTGATTTTCTGGCCCAGGGGATGGTGGGAGGCCGGGGAAGGAGCGCTCGTTGTAGTCCATAATTAAATCCATAGTCATCAGCTCCAAAAATCCATCGTTTTAATCATTTCAAATGTGTTCTGCGATTAAACTGTGTGATCTTTCTGTGTCTAATGCTTTTTATGAATTGGTTTGTAAGGAGCATGCCCACGCAAAATATTGAAACACAACAGAAAGTTCTGCAGATTTCCACAGAATTGGAACTACCATCATTCATAAGTTCTGTTTCCATGTTTGTTCCAACAGTTGTTTTGTTCAAACTGGCGACACGCACAAGTATATCTTGAATGCATTGTAGGTTGCTTTGGATAAAATGATCTACCATATAGAGTGCTGTGCAGCCGTGACATCAAAACCCAGAAGAGTAATTCGCCATGGGTTCCCTCAAGATTTTCCTATGGGTCTTAATATTGGGGTTTTTATAATTTTGAGGGGGAAAAAATGTGTCGTAAATTTAAATTGATGATACTTGGACATTTTACTCTACAACATAAATTACACACAATCATACTAAAAAGTTAATTTTGAAGCAGTTATGCTTATTTTGAAAAAATACATGTTTGTAAAAAAGTAACTACATAGTAACTACAGAGTAACTACATAGTAACTACATACAAAGAATGTTTTGGGTGTGGGTGTGTGCAGTTCATGTTGTACAACAAAACGTTCAAGTATCGTCAAGTTATTGTTACCACAGACCGTATTTTATTCAATAATTATTTTTAATTAAATAACAATTTAAACATATATATATATATATATATATATATATATATA